ATAATAATAATAATAATAATAATAATAATAATAATAATAATAATAATAATAATGTTTGTCTACCAAGTTAACTTGTCTAAACCATTCTCCTCTGGTTTGGAAGGCTTCGACCTCGAAGCAGACCCGATTCTGTCGCCTTAGTGCAAAGTCGAACCCATGGTAGTAAGCCCCCGTCTTTTTCCCCTGTCGAACAGGAAAGTTGAATGTCGCCCAACAAGTTCAGCAGTTCTTGCAGAAGTCATCCCAGATCAGGCACACCAAATGAAATACGATGAAGGTTGTTGTCCAAATTTTAAAGAGTTGCCCTATGATGGAGATTGACCAATTAAATCGGCTTCCATCCATATTTTCTGCACTTTGCAGGATAAAGGCTTCGAATGCCCAGTCGAAGGGGATATCGTGTACTTCGTTAGCATCTTTAAATCTCTGAGCTGAAGCACCACCAAGCTCAATGATCCCAGTGGTATGTGTTGGTTTGGCTCCAAGAGTTCACAGCGCAAAGTCAACCATAACCCAAGCATATAAGACCACGTCAGGTCCTGTCATAACCAAAATAACATAGTGCCCTAAATCCTCAGACAAGGTGTCCTCGGGCCCGGAAGGCTCTTCATCGAAAATCTGAAAACCATCGTACAACGGCCAATCATCTTGTTCCCCGCCAGTCCTGAAAAACTCCAAAATCTCCATGTGAAACCCTCGATCTCCGCGCAACTCTCCGCCACCCTCCAACACACGGGGAAAATCACATCCCTGCTACTCGGAGCCTTGGCCATAGCTGATTGTAGTATTTTTGGGTAGTTGGTAACCGAGTTACCCAGACTCTGGTCAATCTTAAAGGAAAGTTATTCAGATACAGATTCAAGCAACGATTGACTCACACAAGAAAAGAAAATAAAAATCCTAAACATTCTACTCGCATGATTTGGTGGTTGTTTAAAGCTAAAGATTGCAACTTTGAACTAGAACGAAAGCAAGATTCAAATTATATCGCAAGCAAGTCCTCAAATTGCAAGAAAAAAGAATATAAAGAGAAAAATAACAAGGTACTCCTAGACCCGAGATGGAAAGAAATCACTCATAGGTTCGGGAATATGCAACCAAGCGAAAGTCACTCGTGATCAATTAACCTCTCATTCAATTCTCGCTCACGCAATCAATAACAATATCACATAATCCCACTAGTACTTATTACAACAGTGTTTTTAGTAAGTAAAATCCAGTCATATAGCCTTTTCACCTTTCTCATTCTCAAAGTTTCACAAAAATCTTAGAACCAAAATAAAGTATAACACTAAATAAGAACCAATAATTAGAAAAATACATTACATGTGTAACAAAGAAGCATTTAATTTGGGAGAAATCAAGATCAGATAGGGAACAATATATCTTGCCAATGGTAGAATATACATATATCAATGTACAATAATTTCATAGGTTTCACAAAAGTAAATAAAATAAATAAAAAAATATATTATTTAACATATATCAAAAATTTTATGGAACCATCGAATGATTTTTCTATGGAGTCATCAATCACATAATGTATTCACACGTGTCCAAAGTGTATTTATTGCATGACACGTGTCAATACACTTTTTGTGAATAGTTGTGGATGGCTCCATAAGCCGAGTCATCTGATGACTGCATAGCAAAATTGCACATATATACCTATAATTTCATAGGTTTCTTATCATATCATATTTACAAAAAAAATAGTAATTCTTATAATATACAGAAGAATCTTAATTAGAAAATATATCTGTAGAGACATGAAATTTGTGTCCAATCAAATGGCGTCACGTGGAAATTAATTTATTAAAAATCAAGTCATATTTTCTATGTATATTTTAGGAATTTCCATATATTTAATTCCTAAATTTAAATAGTTAATTAATTGATATTTTAATATTTTAATTTTTGACCAATCAAATAATGCCAAGTGACAAATCTTATTTGTTGGTAAATAAGTCACATATCTTCTAGAAGATCTTGGAAGAATTTAAGTGGATCTAGAAGATCTTATGTGAATCATCATGGACCAATCAAATCGCGTCCTAGGATTCTTAAATTTGGTAGGGTTCTCTCTCCTACACCTATAAATAGGGACTCTCCCTAATGTCAAAAACACCTGAGACACTTCATAATTCAAGTTCAAGTTCAAGAGCTATAGAGAATTCTCTCGACGAGATTCAAGTGTTCTTGAAGATTCAAAGCCGTTCTTGAAGATTCAAAGGAACATTCAAGCATGTTCAAGCTCAAAACCAACTTTTAATCCGAAAACAAGCTGTCAAGCCTCCGAATGACGTTCAAATTCATATTCAAGTTCAAGAGCTCTAGAGATTCTCTCGACGAGATTCAAGTGTTCTTGGAGATTCAAAGGCGTTCTTGAAGATTCGAAGCAAGATTCAAGCGCGTTGAACCTCAAGACTAGCGTTCAATCCAAAAA